CCTTCCATCCCTCCTTCCTTCCTTCCTTCCTTCCTTCCTTCCTTCCTCTTCTTCTTCTCCTTTTCCCCCTTCCCCTTCCCCTTCTTCTCCTTCTTGTTCTTCTTACTCTTCTCCTTCTTCTTCTTCTTCCTTTTCTCCTCCTCCTCGTCCTCCTCCTCCTCCTCCTCCTCATCCTCATCCTCCTCATCCTCGTCCTCGTCCTCCTCCTCCTCATCCTCCTCGTCCTCGTTCTCCTCCTCCCCCTCCTCCTCATTCTTCTCCTTCTTTCTTCTTCTTCTTCTTCTTTCTTCTCCTCCTTCTCCTCCTTCTCCTCCTTCTCCTTCTCCTTCTTCTTTTTTAGAATTTCTACACAAGTGATTTCACCTCCTTCTGACTAATTCTAGTGCCGTTTCTTTAATTAATTGAGGTTATTTCCTTGTATACATTGATGTATACATTGCAGTTGTTTTCAAAGTACCTAAGATCCATCTCTGACACCTAAGTCCTTGTCTTACCTTGGACATAATGTTGAATCCCTCAGAATCTTAACTCCTCTGGTGACAAAATGAGTACAATAGTGACCATTCTGCCCACTTCACTTGGTTCTTACGGGGATCAATAAATCACTATATGTGGAAACACTGTTATGGTAAAAAAAAAAAAAATAAACTCTAGTATTGTTATAATAATAATTATTATTAACTTCATTTTTTAACCACTCTGTTTTTGCAATTTTTTCTATCTCATTACAAATAGAGCAGTATATGAACTATATCCTCAGCATCTTCCTGTGTATAAAGAATAATCTTCCTTCAAGCCCTAACTCAACCTCTGACAAGAAGCCCCTACATATCCCTCAATCCTCTCTCTACAGTACAGAAATCTTATGGTAGGTGTTTTTACCTGTGTTAGTTTTTTAATTCAGCTGTTGAGTTCTTAATGGGCAGGATCCAAGTATTATCTGTCTATAGCCCCACATCATTCAGTGCCTCTTACATGGTATTCCTAGACATGTTGACTGACTTAAAGCAATGAACATTTATTATCTGACACAGTTCATGAGAGTCAGGAATCTGAGCATGACTCAGCCAGTGTTTGTGGTGTGTGGTCTTTCATGATGCTTCGTTCAAAATATCAGTTGCAATGATAATCATCTGAAAGCTTGACTGGGCCAGAAGATCCATTTCCAATCTCACTCACATGGTTATTTGGCACAAAGCCTTAGCTCCTTGCCATATGGGCCTCTCCATAGGGCATCTCACAACAGGAAAGCTGGAATGCCCCAGAGAGAGTGATTTCAGAGATTGAAAGAGAGAGACAGAGAGCATGGGGAAAGGGGGTTGCAATGCTTTTTATAACCTAATCTCCAAGTCACATACTATCATTTCTGCATTATTCTATTGATTAGGAGTGATTTATAAAGGCCAGCTCATATTCAACAAGAATAAATTATATAAAGATGTAAATACCAGGAGGCAGAGATAATTGGGGGTCATCTTGGAGCCTGGCTACCACAATGACTGACTGTCTGAATGAATATGTCATGTCTATCTTTAACTTAAAAAGTCCATTTAGGGCTTTTTTCTTCTAGTCAAAACAGACTTGATTTTACTTTTACTCAAATGTGCTCAGGAGTGTGAATGCAAACCAGTCATTAATTAACATTTATCTTATTCAGAAAAGATGACACAATAAAGAATTTTGAAACAAAATGAATTATCTAACCATTGTTCACTCTACCCTCATGTCCACTACAATGTATATATAAATGACTGATAAAACTTTTACCCACCATTAACAAATTCTTTTCAGCAAACTGGTAACAGTAAAATCAGTAAGTATGTGCAAGCTGAAATAAGACAGCAATTTATTTTTATATTTTCTAATTTATATTTTACATTTCCTATATCAAATCCAGACTACTCAGCCTTCTCCTCATATTGAAGAGCAACATTATATTTATTAGGTCCCTACAAAATGCTAGGCACTGTGCTTGAGGTAGAAAATGAGGAAGAGACACAAGGTACCTACTCTTATTCAATTTATAGGAAGGTAAACAATATGCACTACAAGCATTCTTTGGAATTGGATACATCAATTTATCTGACTTTATTCCACTTTTATACTTATTGCCTGTGAATTCCTTCATGCTTCTCCATTTACCCAAAGATTCTTCAGGTTTATTGATGTTACCCAAAGTGGAATGTCTATCATAAAATTTTCAGTGAATTCAGGTCAACAACCTTCTGCTTCTTTGAATTTCTGTAGCACATTAGCACTTAATTATGAACTGTCTTGTTTCTTTATCAAAATGGCTTCAAATGATTTAGTCATGCTGCCCCAACAGATGGCAATTTCTTTGAGGTTCAGGCACCTCCCCACTGCCTAAAAGTTACTCAATAAATGCTTGCCACTTGATGTCTAATAAAGATAAAGTTTTGATTCAATGTCCTTGGCCAAAACTGTGCATGTGAATCTGGACTAATAAGACTAGTTTCTGAATTAATATTCTAGATGCCTAAGACTGATCCTATTTTGAAATAAAAATTACATATATTATTTTAATCCAAATAAATGCACAGTGCCTTAATCTTTTCTGTACTTGTAATTTATCAGGAGATTAATAAGTTACTGATACATAGTGTGGAAGCTTACCAATTGGAATGTTAAATATTTTTGCATAAATATACAACAGAGTGTTATTTGCAGAATTCTTTAAATTTTTTTTAATGTTTATTTATTTTTGAGACAGGGAATGGAAGAGCATGAACAGGGGAGGGGCAGAGAGAGAGGGAGATACAGAATCTGAAACAGGCTCCGGGCTCCGAGCTGTCAGCACAGAGCCCGGCGCGGGGCTCAAACTCACGGACCATGAGATCATGACCTGAGCCGAAGTCGGATGCTTAACCAACCGAGCCACCAAGGCACCCCCATTATTCTTTAAATAAAATACCTGAAACAGCCCAAAGCCTTGGAAATAATTTTGATCTTAGAGTCACACAGACCTGGGTAAGACAAATTCTAATATTTGGCAAATTGCATCAGTCTAAGCTTCCATTTCCTCATTCATATGAGGAGGATATAACTATTTGCTTTCCAGCACTAGCTGTGTGAATATCACTTCTACTCTTTTTGATATCTTCTAAAGAAATATTGGAAATATATTGTTTTATCCATGGGAAAATTAATTATTAATCATCCAACATGCCCAAATACACAAAAAAGTCACTGAATATTTTTTAAAAAAATTATTGTTACAAAGATCCCATGCATGGTCATATCTGACAGTGCACTCAGTGAAATGGTGGAAAACTTAGACTTGTGGCTTCTTCAGATTTTAGTGGATCGCGATTAGCCTTGGGTCAAAGACAGGCATCAGACAAAACAAAACAGAAAAGCTAAGAAAAAATCATGGCCAAAGACAACTGAAGAGACATGAGAATAAAAGCACTCCTCTCTAGATTTTGTTTGTTTGTGCACCATTTTTCTTTGAGTGCAAATATCTATTGTTATTCTGGATTTACAGACTTCACCTGAACAGTCACATGTTTCAACACTGAATGTCTGTGTCCCATCCACAATGTCTATATTCTCTTGATTTCTAAAGATATTAGATTCTGTTGTCACTGCCAATTCGCATGAAACACTTTAGTAAGAATATTTGGCTTTGAGTTTTAGAATTATTTTTGCTTTATTCTGCTTGCCAGCAATCCATAGTGTCAAGAAATATTTTTAGGATACATATTTAACATGTGTGTATATACATAATCTAAATTTATTTGCAAAAATACCATTAAAAGTATCTAGCTAATATTCTAAGATAAATTCAAGCTGTCTCCATTTTTCTTGAGCAAACTGGACTCTACTGAAGTCTTCTTAGAATCAATATTTATAATAAATTTGAGCAGTAGATTCATTTATGGAGTAAAAATTGCTGAGCTGAGGGTCAGGAGACATGGTTCTCAATCTGAATTAATTATAGTCTGTAAGAACAGTGAAAGAATAAGGTGGCCAGGCTAATGAGTAGAACCACCACAGGAAAGAATTTTGGAAGAAAATTACACAGAGGGACAGGATGTTCTAGGTATGACAACAATTGCAGAGTCAGATTCCATAGATTAGCCCAAACTTCTGTGTTGTCGGTGGGAAATTATAGAGAAAGATAAGAATATTGGAAAAAACATTATTAAGAAAAGTTATCTCTAAGCAAGATTAGTGCTAGGACCTCAGCCCTTAACAGTGGTTGATCTATCTTCAATCCCCCTAATTCTACTTCAGAGAGACTTACGACATTCCTAGAATTATGTGCAAAGGAGCTCATGTATCATGCTGAATTTATCAGCTGAATTTATCAATTGAATTTATGATCAGCATGTGTGTGTGTGTGTGTGTGTGTGTGTGTGTGTGTGTGTGTGTGTGTGTGTGTGTTTTCCTATGCATGAATATTCTGATAAAGTTTAATTTATATACTAAGCACAGTAATGGATTAACAACAGTAATAGTAAAATAAAACAATTATAATCATGCATTGTGATGAAAGTTTTGTGAATGTGGCCTCTCAAAATATCTTACTGTATTATTCTCAGCTTTCTTCTTACGTTGTGAGGTAAAAAAACACCCACATGATGACATGAAGTGAGGTTAATAACATAGGCACTGTGATGCAGTATTAGACCATGATTTACCAACCCTTCCATGTATTGTCAGGATGATCTGCTTCCAGGCTTTGGTTGACTGCAGGTAACTGAAACCAGGGAAAGTGAAATCATAGGTAATGGGGATCTACTGTGTAGATTGGGGAAATAATTTAAGTCTGACATAATGTAAGTACTTAGTAAAATGTTAATCCTTACTCTGGCCCCAACCCCACAGTAACTTATTAATGGACTGAAGGATTACAGTAGACACTGGAGTTGGGCTTTCCATGAACAATAGAGAGAGGAAATTCGGGGGTGGGGGTTGGGAGACAGGTATACATCATCATTAAAAATAAAAAATTTTTTAAAAATTCTAAAAATATGCTTGAAGATGAGAACACTATAAAAAAATATCTTTCTCAGTGCTTGCAGGAGGACATACTTCCTTGTTTGTGGAGTCTAATTAATTTTTTTATCAATATAATTTATTGTCAAATTGGCTTACATAAAACACCCAGTGCTCATCCCAACAAGTGCCCTCTTCAATGCCCATCACCAGTTTTCCCTCTCCCCGACCCCTTCATCCACCCTTAGTTTGTTCTCCGTATTTAAGTGTCTCTTGTTGTTTCCCTCCCTCCCTCTCTGTTTGTAACTATTTTTCCTCCTTCCCTTCCCCATGGTCTTCCGTTCAGTTTCTCAAGATCCATATTAAGAGTGAAAACATATGAAATCTGTCCTTTTCTGACTGACTTATTTCATTCAGCATATAACCTTCCAGTTCCATCCACATTGCTGCAAATGGCATGATTTCATTCTTTCTTATTGCCAAGTAGTATTCCATTGAATATATAAACCACATCTTTATCCACTCATCAGTTGGTGGACATTTAGAATCTTTCCATAATTTGGCTATTGTTGAAATCACTGTTATAAACATTGGGGTACACATGCCCCAATGCATCAGCACTCCTGTATCCCTTGTGTAAATTCCTAGCAGTACTACTGCTGGGTCATAGAGTAGTTGTATTTTTAATTTTTTTGATGAACCTCCGCGCTAATTTTCCAGAGCAGCTGTACCATTTTGCATTCCCACCAACAGTGCAAGAGGGTTCCCATTTCTCCACATCCTCTCCAGCATCTATAGTCTCCTGATTTGTTCATTTTAGCCAGGTGGTATCTCAGTGTGGTGTTGATTTGTATTTCCCTGATGATGAGAGAGGTTGAGCATCTTTTTGTGTGTCTGTTGGCAATCGGGATGCCTTCTTTGGAAATGTGTCTATTCATGAATTCTGCCCATTTCTGCACTGGATTATTTGATCTTTGGGTGTGGGATTTGGTAAGTTTTTTATAGATTTTGGATACTAACCCTTTAACCAGTATGTCATTTGCAAATATCTTTTCCCATTCCAAGGGTTGACTTTATTTTTGTTGATTGTTTCCATTAAGGTGCACAAGTTTTTTTATCTTGATGTGGTCCCAGTACTTCATTTTTGCTTTTAATTCCCTTGCCTTTGGGGATGTGTCAAGTAAGAAATTGCTGCGGCTGAGGTCAGAGAGGTTTTTGCTGATTTCTCTTCTAGGATTTCATGGTTTTCTGTCTCACATGTAGGTCTTTCATCCATTTTGAGTTTATTTTTATGTATGGTGTAAGAAAGTGGTCTAGTTTCATTCTTCTGCATGTTGCTGTCCAGTTCTCCAAGAACCATTTGCTAAAGAGACTTTTTTCCACTGGATGTTTTCCTGCTTTGTGAAAGATTAGTTGGCCATACATATGTGGGTACAATTCTGGGTTCTCCATTGTATTCTCTTGATCTATGCGTCTGTTTTTGTGCCAATGCCATGCTGTCTTGATGATTATAGCTTTGTAGTAGAGGCTAAAGTCTGGGATTGTGTGCCTCCCGCCTTGGTTTTCTTCTTCTATATAACTGTGGCTATTGTAGTTCCATACAGATTTTGGGATTGTTTGTTCTAGCTTTGAGAAGAATGTCGCTGCAATTTTTATTGGGGTTGCATTGAATGTGTAGATAGCTTTGGGTACTGTTGACATTTTAACAATATTCATTCTTCCAATCCATGAGCGTGGAATATTTTTCCATTTCTCTGTGTCTTCTTCAATTTCCTTCATCAGCTTTCTATAGTTTTCAGCATAAGGTCTTTTACATCTTTCATTAGATTTATTCCTAGGTATTTTATGGTAAGTGGTGCAATTGTAAATGGGATCAGTTTCCTTATTTCTATTTCTGTTGCTTCATTACTGGTGTATAAAAATGCAACCAATTTATGTACATTGATTTTGTATCCTATGACTTTGCTGTATTAATGTATCAGTTATAGGAGTCTTTTGGTGGAATCTTTTTGGTTTTCCATGTACAGTATCATGTCATCTGTGAAAAATGAAGTTTCACTTCTTCTTTGCCAATTTTGATTCATTTTCTTTCATTTTGTTGTCTGACTGATGATGCTAGAATTTCCAACACTATGTTAAACAGCAGTGGTGAGAGTGGACATCCCTGCGGTATTCCTGATCTCAGGGAGAAAGCTCTCCATTTTTTCCTGTTGAGGATGATATTAGCTCTGAAATTTTCATATATGGCTTTTATGAAGTTTAAGTACATTCTTTCTATCCTGACTTTGTTGAGGGTTTTTATTAAGAAAGGATATTGTATTTTGTCAAATGCTTTTTCTGCCTCTATTGACTATCATATGGTCATTATCCTTTATTTTATTACTGTTATGTATCACATTGATTTATTTGTGAATATTGAACTAGACTGCAGCCCAGGAAAGAATCCCACTTGATCATGGTGAGTAATTCTTTTTATATGCTGCTGAATTTGATTTGCTAGTATCTTGTGGAGAATTTTTGCACCCATGTTCATTAAGAATATTGGCCTGTAGTTCTCACTTTTTTGTGTGTGGGATCTCTGTCTGGTTTAGAAATCGAAGTAATGCTGGATCATAGAATGAGTCTGGAAGTTTTCTTCCCTTTCTACTTTTTGGAACAGATTGAGAAGGATAGGTATTATATCTGCTTTAAATGTCTGGTAGAATTCCCCAAGGAAACCATGTGGTCCAGGACTCTTATTTGTTGGGAGATTTTTGATAACTGATTCAATTTCTTCCCTGGTTATGGGTCTGTTCAAAATTTCTATTTCTTCCCA